CAGGGACAAGTCTTAAGAGAGAAATCTTGAGGGACACGTCTTGGGAGAGAAGTTTTAAAAGACAAATCTTCAGAGACAAGTTTGGAGACACAAGTCTGGAGAGACAAGTCTACAAGTGACAAGTCTTGAGCGAAAAGTGTGAAGAGACAAGTCTGGAGAGACAAGTCGACAAGTCACAAGTCTTGACAAACAAGTCTGAAGAGACAAGTTTGGAGAGACAAAATTGGAGAGACAAGTTTGAGGAGACAAGTCTTGAGAGACAAGTTTAGAGAGACAAGTTTGGGGAGACAAATCTTGAGAGACAAGTTTGGAGAGAAAAGTCTTGAAAGACAAGTCTTGAGAGAAAAGTTTGGCCCGCAACACGTCTCATCGACGCTTGTCGTCAATTCAAAATGTGCACCACGCCACAGCGAGAGCGATGTGACCCACCCCAAGTGTGCAGAGGGCTCGCTTTCCATTTTCAAAAAGTGCACGGCGCCACAGCGAGAGCCATTCGATCCACCCAAAGTGCGGAGAGGGTTCGCTTTGCATTTTCAAAAAGTGCACCGCGCCACAGCGAGAGCGACTCGACCCACCTAAAGTGCTGCGCCTGCCACGACATCGGCGCGCAAGCTCGAAAGTACTGCGCCTGCCACGAACTCTGCACGAAAAGCTCAAGTGCTGCGCCTGCCACGAAATCTGCACAAAAAGCTCTAAAATGCTGCGCCTGTCGCAAAAAATCACGTTACAGCGACATGCAAAACGCTCAAAATGCTGCGCCTGCCACGAAACCAGAATTTGACACTCCCGCACCGCGCCCGGAAACTAGCGCGGGACTGTAGCGCCAGAATGATTTCGACCGATTTCTTGCAAATCTGCAGTCGTGAAATCGAGCCGATTGTACGACAGGGCCAACGAAAACGACACTCCAGCAAACGCTTGCGCAAGCATTCCAAGCAAAATACCTCAAAACGACGGCCCCTGAAACGCGAATCCCACTGCAGTTGCAACGCAAACGTGAAGCCTCACGAAACACTGCGCCTGCGCAGTGAAACGACACGTCGAGCTTGAGAAGCTACGACAAAGGGCCAACGAAAACAGCACATCACAAGTCTAGCGCAATCATACGGACGGTTGCGGTTGCGGACAGTTGCACAACATCCGGCTAACAAGGCTTCACCCCCAGACCCCCAAGATGAAACAAGAACCCTATGCTGCCTATGCTACGCATTCGGGAAAAAATACTTTCGGTTTCTTCAAAGGGTACCCTCAAAAAGAGGCGGGAGATTTCCACCCGCGAGCCCCGTCTTGCAGCTCGTCGGGGCGAACCCGGCTTCGGCTTCCCTGTGCCGAGCCCAAAAAGGGCATTCGCCTCAAAATGACACACGAGTTCTGTTGAACCCTCAAACCGGGGGGGGGGGGGGAAAAACGGGCCTTCCAGAAGGCCCTTGGTCGTGCCGTTCCTTGAGGTGTGCCCCTTTTTTTGGGGGTCGCCTTTGGAAGGGACACCAACGAAAAAAAACAAAGAACCCCCCATTTTAAGACACCCACGTCCTTATGGGCTGAAAGACCCCGCAGCCCGAAGCCGCGCGACTCTTCTTTTTCCAGGCTTGCCGGAAGCTCAGAGGCGCTCGTTGGGCCTCCTGAAAGGCCAGGTTGCCCGGAGAAACCAGGAATTCAGCCTTTCCAGTGTTCGTTGGAGGCTAGGGAGAAATGTCGACGCCATATTCATCAACCCCTGTTATTCATATGGGGGGTGTCCCTGGGTTGAGCGGGCATTCATTACTTTTGGAGGGGAACACCCCCTGGAAGGATGCCCCTAATACAGCAGAGTATAGCACAAATCTTGTGGAAACAGCCGCAGTTGCCTTGTAAAGAACCCGGAAATAGAACGTGATCACATTACCTTTTGCGGCCCTGACTAGAGGTGGACCGAAACGTAGAAACCAAACGGTCAAAAGGGCTTTGGCATGTCACCTACCAGCAAATGGGTGTATGTTGTTTGACCAGTTTTGGGGTGTTCAAGGTCGGCCCATTTGTGGGGTCCTCCTTTTTCCAAACCAGCCCTCAAACGACTGCTTTTTGGACGGCACTTGGCAATTGTGCTGGAAGTGTCTCTGCATTTGTCGCTCAATTCAACAAACGAGGCTCCCTTGAGTACTTGAAATTGGAACAAGCCTCCAACTTCGACACGGTGTACAACCTTAATTGAGGACCCCACTGTGATACATCCTTATGAGGGCCTGGTGTCAAAGAAAGTGGCAACCTGGCCACTTATCCCAAAATACATGGGTCGTCACAACGCGGCATGTTTCTCTAATTTGCAAACCAGACAGAATGTCTCCCCAAAACCAAGGTTTCATCATGGGTGAGCAGGTGAGTTCGCTATCATGTACCCTCCCACCCATTGCCATTGAGCTTGACTGGAGCCCCCTCAAGTAGTCCTCCAAACATGACCTTTTGCCGGGTTCCAAGGTGAGAACGATAGACGGGTTGTCAAACGCTCCACGTAGTAAGGTTACAGCCATGGATGCCGAGTTGTAAACAGGGTTATGACCTACTTGCCATGGTTTGAGCATCCAGGTGAGCCAGCAAACTGCCAGCCACATGTGGCAAACGTTGGCTCCCTCTGCAGAGTGTTAATGTTATTTCCGAATTATGTAACCACGGTCCCCTGTTAGAGGAAAATGGTCCAAACTTTGTCCAAATAAACGGGTCACTTTCATTTTCCATTTTTATTTTTGTGGGATGGTACGCGGCTTGAACATCCAAGTTGCCAACGAGTTTGCAAGGCCCTGTCTTTGGCACATGGCTGTGTGGGTCAAACAGGCTGTGGCTCAAAAACTGTGCAAGAATGGCATCTTAAATGGAAACTCACACTAAAAAAAACTCTGCGTACCCAGGTCGAAACATTTTGAGCCGTGCGAAATCTCTGAGAAGACACCCCCAACCTTTGCCCTTCCGCTCCTCTCGCCGGCCGCCTCAGATCCGGACTCTTGGGCCAGGTCTTTGGTGGTTGTTGGACGGCGGGGGAACAAGGCCCTTGATCAACGCCAGGGGCCGGGGGGGGGAGGCCTTGGGTATGGGGGGGCCCTTTGTTGGTAGAGGGGCCACGGTTTTTCGACCATGCGCTCGCTTCTTTTGCTTTGCTTCTTGCTTCCCCGGGTTCACCTGGGCTGCGCACTCCCATGACTCAAGCCAGAACATGTGCTGAAACGAACTCACCCAAACGAGCGTGGCAATTTTCTGAAACTCGAAGGTTCCCCGGACCCCGCCCCCTGTGAGGCTCCATGGAACAATCTGGTTTGGTCATGACGTGCAGAAGAACTTTGGCCAATTTGCCAAAAAAATGTGACGAAACAAGCGCGGTCTTGCTGCAACACTGCTACAGATCGAACTACTCACAGGAAACAATACTGTTAAGAACAGGCCGGCTCGTCATGAAACCCTTGGTGCGTTTCGTCGCCAGCTTTGAGTTTTGAAGGCCCAGCCACAGTCGTTGGGGAAAGATGGTGCAAATTGCGCAGGAGCATCATCTAGTCAACCTACCAGCGCATCTCCGAGAACCCGTCCTGCAAAGCTTGAGACAGTTGACGGGGCTGTTGGTATCTGCAGCCCATCCATTCTGACTGGTGGCACTTGTCTGCCCATTGCGCCGGTCTCGGGTTCCAACTATTTCGTGATGTCAATGTAGGGGGAGACGTGAGTTGTTGAACCAGCGACAGGCTTCGCCTTTGCCATGCGCCCTGCAGGGGGCCCTGCTGAGACGCGCGTGCGTGCTGAGACGCGCGTGCGTTCTTGCTGGAGCGCGCGGGCGCGGATTGCTGCTCATAGGAAATGCAGCAGAGCGTGCGTGGGCCCCAACCGCCGGGATAAGGGATGGAGAGACAGGGGAATGGGTGGTGCCCCAATGGCTTAGTAAGCCAGCGAGCCGCCTCGCCCATTTGCCGTGTTCTCACGCGCCCCAACAATTTCAAACACAGCAAGTTGAGTAACTGGCAAGACACTGACAAGCCGCAGGAACACTGTCACTCAGCGTTCCAGGGAATGAGCCATGCATAGCATCTGCAAAACCCACACATCTAAACAGGGTGGAAGAAAACGGAGCAATTTAAAAGAACGGTCCAGTTTTCAGCAAAAATACTCCGCGCTGGATCGTCCATTGGCCGAGTGAACGGCTTACCTTGAGACTGTGGGGCACACACAAACAAAAAAACAAAAACACAAAACAAAAGAACAACAAACAAACAAGCAAGCAAACAAACAAACAAACAAACAAACAAACAAACAGCCAACCCAACCCGACCAAACCAAACCAAACCAAACCAAACCAAACCAAGCCAACCAACAAACAACGAACAACACACACACAAACAAAGTCACACAATCAACACAAACAACTACCACGCAAAAAAAAGAACACGACAGAAACAAACACACAAATAAACACAAACAAACACACAAATAAACACAAACAAAAAGACGGATAAACACAAACAAACACACGAACACACGAACACCCCACACACAGATACACGCAACTACACACGCAAAGGCACACAACATAACAACTCAGACACAAACAAAGGCATAGACACAACCACACACACACAGAGACAAACAAACTAACAAACAAAGAAACAAACAAACAAACAAACAAACAAACAAACAACAAACAAACAAACAAACAAACAAAATAAAACAAAACAAAACAAACAAATATAACCACAAAACCACACGCACACAAATGCGCAGAAACTCACACAAAGACCACAAAAACACACGCACGCATGCACACACAGGAACATGAAAATCCACCCACTCACACACACACACACATTCACACACAAGGAGCGCCACCTTTGGGTACCCTCCACCACTGAAAGCCATGCACACATCACGAAAGAATGCACCTAAACTAAGATTAGCGCCTAACCACCTTGTTTATCAGCCTGGTTCCGCCTTGCCCTGTAAAGATGTCTTCGCCCAGGGCTGTTCGCCGTCCAAGTTTGGCGAGCCGCTGACACGGGAGGCTGGACCTGGAAGTTGATGGGCTCCTCACATCGATAGTCCCGGACATGTGGATTTAAGGTCGCCCCCCTCCCCCCCGTTGCTGATGCATGTGTTTCAAGTGTTTGCTTCTTTCTTTCTTTTTTTTGGGGGGGGGTGAAACCACCGTTCAGAATCCCTGGGAGGATTCGATTCCCCGGTAAAAATACGAGAAACGTCATGGTTTCAACCCAACGAGTTGGTCGACCAACATCCCCCTTCACGAGTTTTGAGAAAGCATTCCACCAGTCGACCCCTCAGCGATTGTTCATGTTTTCACGGCTCGCCTTGGTGAGGCCGGGAAGGCTTATAAGGCCTTATTTCTAAGGTTGAGGGTCTGAAAATTGTCGGGCCTTGGAGGGGTGCTTCTGCCGCAACTCTCCAGATGGGCAAAGCTAGATATCCCTTGGATCTTTGAAATTGGGTGAATTGACCCCGCTAAGGATAAACAAAACCAAAAAAAAGAGGATGAAACACACGAAAAAATAAAAAAGGGGAAACAAAAAAGAGGAGAAGGTGCTATGCTTCAGAAAAGGGCCTGAGGCAAACCTTCAGCCTGCCCGAGCTTGTTGTGTTTGTTCCCGTGGGTCCATCGCGGGTAGGCTGTCATGGAAACCACGGACAATCTTGTTGTGATTGTTCGTGGACTTTCGTCAACAAGCTCCTTCACCATTCCACCGTGTTGGTTTAGTCATCCCCTTTCACTCTGTTGCAGCCATGGGTGTCCTTTTCAAAAATAGATGGCCCTGGTAAATGGAATCAAACTCATCTAAACCAGTGCCTTCCATTTTTAACTAAACTAACCGAAAAAGGACACCTATGATTCCACCATGTTGATTTAGTCATCCCCTTTACCTACCACAAAGAAACTTTCACCCTGTGGCAGCAATGTGTAGCAACATCTCAGACTCTGAAGTGTCAATTGCCGCCATCAGCTGTTCAACCCAGCGGCTAACACTTCAGCACTCTCGTCATGACAGGTGGGCATGTCGTGAACCTCATGTGCACTGGCCATTCCCAATTGCTTTGTCGTCCAGATCTTGGTTGCTGTTGACCCCTCTGCAACATGTGAAAGAGTGACTGACTGTTCGTGGGTTAAAGTTGGACTTCCACCCACTAACCAACTAAAAGGTTTTGAAGACCTAAGTTGAACCGGACGGCTGGGAACCGCTAAGTTTCAGCTTCTCCCTAGTTGGTGATTTGGATTGGTGGTTTGGTGGTGAAGGAGGGGTTTCCCATTTACCCTCTACAAGACCCAGGGGCTCGAACCCCCAAACCACCAATTGGGGCAAGGTCCTCCAGCAGACAGGTTAGAACAAGGGTACGCTTTGTTCTGTAGTCTATTTGAGTAGGGGAACCCTCCCAACCAAAAAGGGGGCACTACTAGGGAACCTGGCACCTGGCCAATTAGGGGGTACCTGAACTAAGGAAACTTTGCCAAGAGAAAATAGCAGGTCTAACCTAGCTCGCTTCGGAGCGGCCTTTTCTTGAGCCTTTTATGAAGCTACATATTCCAACACCAAGAGCAAAAAAAAAAAAAAAAAAACAAGGAAAAAAACACACACAACAAAGAAAACCAAAACAAAGAAGAAGAAAAAAGAAAAAGGAAACCAATCACACCACAAAAACAAAACAAAAAAAAAACAAAAAAAACAAGGAAAAAAACACACACAACAAAGAAAACCAAAACAAAGAAGAAGAAAAAAGAAAAAGGAAACCAATCACACCACAAAAACAAAACAAAAAAAAAACAAAAAAAACAAGGAAAAAAACACACACAACAAAGAAAACCAAAACAAAGAAGAAGAAAAAAGAAAAAGGAAACCAATCACACCACAAAAACAAAACAAAACCAAAAAAAAAAAAAAACAAGGAAAAAAACACACACAACAAAGAAAACCAAAACAAAGAAGAAGAAAAAAGAAAAAGGAAACCAATCACACCACAAAAACAAAAAAAACAAAAAAAAAAAAACACACACACGCAACAACACAAAGCAAAAAGGGCATCCTCGCTGGAGCCGCCGAAGCCGAAGCGCTGCGGCGCCTGGCAGAGCGCGAGACCAGACGCGCGCTCGCTCAGACGCTCGCCGCGCTCGGCGCGCTCGGGTTCCGCGTGACCCCCGCTTTCGTTTTTTTTTGGTCGTCGGTTGGTCCATTGGGTTTTGTTTTTCTGTGTTTGTCCGTTCCTTTTTGTTCGTTCCATATTGTTGTTGTTGTTGTTATCCATTGTTTTTTGATTGATCTATGGCGATTTTTTTGTTTCCCCCCCCCGGAAAAAGAAAAGGAGAAAACGAAGCCATTTTGGAGGGTCTCCAAACAAAGGGAAAATGGCCAGATGTTTTTCCCTTTTTTCGTTTGAGTATTCAGTGAACCTGCAAATCTAGACGTGATTTGGAAAAAGGGGGTGCTTCAGTGTCGAAGGCAAAATGCGAAATGTACCCTAGCTCCATCCCAAGATCATTTTCGGTATCCATTTAAGTATGTGTCAAACTAGGGGCGGTTTCCCTGAGAAGAGTACCCTGAAAAAACGCACACTCATTTGGACATTTTGAGCCCAAAAAGCGGTCATTTGGAAGTGGGGTGCCGGGTAGCAGGATGGAGTGCGTTCTGCCCATCTGAATGCTCCGTAAATGTCCATGATTATAACTTAATTGACTGTTTTAGTGGGGATTCATCACTTTTGGAGGTGAGCACCCCCCCTATTAATGAACCGGTTTATTTATCCGGAGCCAACAGTACTTCCATGGGTTAAACCATCCACTTCACTTCCGCCGGACTGGTGGTCGAACCTCGGCAACACTAGAGTCACTAGAGACAAAGCCGCAACCCCCTGGAAAGGTTCCCGTGAGGAACCTTAGGGTCTGCGAGCAGAAGCTTTTGGATACCTTTCTTGGAGAGGTCCGATTCTGTCTTTCCACCAGATGGCACAGCTCTTGCTCCTCCATTTGCTTTTTTCGCCGCCTGGAAAAAACATGGTGTGATACATGTCCTTTAAAGCCAAGGGGGGGAAATTGAAAAGTCCTAGACATCCAAGTTGCTGCTTTTTTCAGTCACTGTTGCTGGTTTTTGGGGTCAAGCGCAGGGAAAAAACAAAAAACAACAGCAACTGGCGATCCAGGGTGTTCTTAATTACTCGCTTCCTGGTCACCCGTAAGCGCTCGCCACGGAAGCGCTCGGTCCCGCACGTAGCGCCTTGACCTTTGGAGGGGACAGCCCCTGTCTTGATTGATTTTTAAAGGAAGCCCGACAAAAAAGGAAAGAGAGTTTACCAACAAGAAAAACGTGTGTTGCACAAGAATTTGTGTTTTCCCTGGTGGTTTCACCTGAAAACCAACCGAAAGGGTGTTACCCCAACATTACACACCCATTTTTGAGAGGAAGTCAACCCCCCCCCCCCCCCACAACCCTCCTGGAACTGGTCTTACCAGTAGAATCTGTGTAGCGGTTGCGAATTCTTGTGGGTATAGCTTTGCGCAGTGTGGAAGTCTTTTGAGACATGGCGCTGAGACAAACCGGAAGTGTCGGTGGCAGAACAAGTAAAACCCTCGTACTTTCCCGATGACCCGATTTGGTTGAACGCGGTTGTTGCCGTAGGTGTCCTTTTTGTGAAAATAGATGGCCCTGGTAGTTGATTGACCCACCAGGAAAACCAGGGCCCTCTATTTCACAGCCAAATCAACCAAAAAGGACACCTATGGTTGTTGCCGTTACGTAGCCCACAAATCGACCGTAGCCCATACCCGAGTTCCAAAGGCTTGCAGAGGGGTCACTGTTCTAAGCTGACTGGAACATCCATGCAAATCAAAGCTTGGCGTCCACTGATGATATTTCCTTCCCTTAAAAACAACCCCAAGCAGGGAACCCTTTAAAACGGCATCCACATTATAGCCTACCCCCAACATATCAATGAATTGCTGTTGAAATAGGGGACTCTCTAGAATGTCTGGTTTGCTGGTGAGTTCCTTTTTCAACAGACCGCAAAAGGGTACCCTCTTTGCTTAAGCTTCCTGGAAAAAATGAGAACATATTTCCAGTAGTCATAGATTCCCCTGAAAAGCGACAGGGAATAATACAAAACATCGTCTTATGCAAATGGAAGCTTCACGCCTCTTCTGGGGCTTTCAAGAAAGCATCTCGGGCATCGCGATAAAAGCGCCTCTGGCCCCGCGGGGAGGTCCTCGTTCCAGGCGCAGCCTCCGGGATAGGATGTGGGCCCTCTCTAAGTTTTAAGATGGGTTGGCCAAAAAAGTAAAAGTGCTTTTGCTTGCCACTAGTGGCCTTTCCACAAAAAGTATATTATCAAGTCCATTGTTCAACCGCCTCCTTTCCCGTGGAAGACCAGGTCTGTGGTCCTTGAACATTTTTGGCCCCAGCTCCAGGGCACGCAACACCCCGGGGCTCCGGCCGCAGCTGGTTCTCGGGGCACAGCGCTCCGGCGCGCAGCCGAAGAGGCGGATGAGACCTCAGGCGGCTGGCTCGCCTAATGTGAGGCGACGGGTTTTTGGGGGGTGACAAAGGGCCAAAAGGAAACCAGCATTTCAGGGGAGTCCCCTAAAAGACGACACACCCATAAGAGGATTGACCATGCCTCTTAGAGGCATGGTCACTATTTATTGCGTGCCCACTTCCAAGATAAGAAAGCCCTACGTCACCCCCAAAAGATCGCAAACCTCCCCCCCCCCCCGGTCTGTGGTAGCAGTGCGCTTTCTCTGGCCCCAGCCGAAGAAATCGCCGCCTGGACACATCGCAATCAAAACCCCCGCTCCGGGACCCTCCATCAAAACCGAAAACGCTAATCGCCCCCAAATCGACGGATTCTGACGGATTCTTCAAGCAAACCCAATCCATCTGTTGGGCTAGCTGGAAGCAGTCGGCTAGCCCAAGAATTTGGACCAGACTGCTCAGCTAGAGAGGGGGGTTGCATTAGTGTTGGGCCAGGTTGAGTGATTCCAGGCCATCAAGTGCTAAAAGGAAGCTCGGAGGTGTCTCAACAAAGACTCCGGGCTCGTCAAACGTTGAACATGTTGTTCCTCCGATGTTCACATCGGAACCACCAGATTCAGAGCTCCAACCAGTCCCCTACCAAAGGGTCATGTCTCAAAAGCCACCGGACGTGTCCAACCCCCGCCCAACCCCCGGACTTGGTTCCACTCGGCCCGTAAGTCGGGATCGAAAAAACGGCGCCCGCCACACTCACCAGACCACGGCTTGGGGGCGTCTCGCCTTCAGCCCATAGCTTGAAAACCAAAACAAACATGGGAGTGGAATGAAGTGTGGGATTGGTTCCGTCTGCTCCTGCCATAAACACGCAACCCAAGCAAGCCTATGAAACGCAACCCTGGAAGTTTCAACCATGCCACTTTGGAACCGGTCGGTTCAATTGCTGGTGATCAATTGGCTATGACCCCCCAATTTAACTGGTGACACACTTCCCCCCCCCCAAAAAAAAAAAGTGTTTTCTTTTTTAAGGATAAAAAACGGGGGAAACAGGACGAAATATAAACACATAAATCAAACAACCAACCAGCGACATGGGACAACAACTGCTTGATGACAACCCCACGGCACGGCCGCCTTGGCCCACGCTCTCCTTCAGGGGGCTGCCCGCCCTGGCCAGCCGCGCGGATTCCGGGAAAGCCGTCGGCACCAAAAAAGCGCCGCGCCCGTCTCTCATCTCACGTCCTCAGATTTTCCCAAAGCAAGTCCCGAACCTTCTTTTCGTCACAAAAATGGTGGTTTGTTTATTACAGTGACGGTGTTCTTCTTCGTTTCACATGAGGATGTGTTGTTTTTAGGAATCGACCCGGGTCCCAAAATGACGGTGTTCCTTTTGGTGACCCTTTAAAGCAAACAAATTGCGTCCTCAGAAAAGACCAAAAAAACAAGGAGCTAAAATAATGACATGATTCACCCTTTTGATCGAGTCAACTTGGTTTTCTACTACTCCAAAACCCTGCTCTACGCATGTCGGCCCCTTGATTATGTAGATTTAACCGATGGCCATGGAAGCTTCTCTTGCTTTGTCCGGCCATAAGCAGGGCTGGCCAAGGGTTCCCAAACCCTCAATTGGCCCGAAAGCTCCTGACTCCAAAAACCTTGCGCCCGACAAAGATTGGATGATAGGAGACTTAGATAGGCATTGATCAGCATGGTAACTATATTTCTTCCGGAAAACTCCATCGTCGCGAGAAGAAACACATACCCTCCCCACCAACTAACATGGAAGTGCACAAACCCCATTTCCAAGAGGAAAGTAGTCTTTCTACAGGGGTCTGTCCACTTCCATGTTAGTCGATGGGAGGGTATTTTTTGCCAACCCATTGCCTGCAAGGCCCTTTTGATCAGCTCCCAACGGTTGGAGCCCCTACCCTACACCAACCCCCGACTTGGGACATTCTCCAGACGCCCCCCCCAGGGCCGCAAAACGGAACAAGTCAATGGTCACAAAGCTGCCCTTCCGCCATTGGTCCGCGAAGCCATGACTTGGGTTCCAACCAGATGTCCTCTTCTGGATCAGCACTGCCAAGGGGAACTCATGCACAAAGGCCAGCTACTCAGCTCACTGAGAGAGAAGTAACCAAAAGCCTGCACAACAGCAGCGAGATCCCTGGTCTGGCCGGCCACAATATCAGTCACTCCAACGAAGACCATGTGAGGCAAGCCAGCGCGCCCCACCCCTAGCCCCCCCAGGAGCCAGGGAGTCAAACAAACCTCAGGTTGAGGAATGGCTCCAGCACAGGTGACCTTTTGGAAAAATCGATGGGCTTCCAGCTAAACCGGCCAGTGGAACCCATCTACTTCCTTTTTCAAACCAATCAACAAGGGCGTCTATGGCTTCCCAACATCCAAAGAACCCCTTCCTCTAGGGGTTGATTCCCCATTCTTTTCAACCATCGTTCTTTTCAAAAACCGGATCTGTTTCCCCTGGGAATTTTTGATGGTTCCCTGAAAAGATTCGGATCCCTGGGTTCAGAATGGACATGGAAGGCACCCCTCGACTTCCTTCCTTTCCTGGAGCCTTTGGTTTCCTCCCTCGTTCACCTCAAATCCATGCGACTCGCCTTGGCTCGAAGGAAGGGGTGGAAAAGACCTTCCCGGCCTGCGCAGCAACCAGCCGACGTTCAGCGTAGGGTGGCTCGTCTCTTTTTCAGAAAGTACCCCTTCTGAACTTCTTTGGGTCGCTTTTGAAAGGGAAACCCGAGAAGCAGCCCATTCTGAAGCTTCCCCCATTTTCAAGCCCGCCACAAAAATAGATGGAGTGAACCCCTCCGGAAAGCCGCCAAAGCCCGGGCTCATATGGCTGCGGGCCAGAAAAGATGGCTTGCCAGTACCGGGAAATGGGACCAAGGACTAAAACCTGCGGGTTTCCTGGTGGCTTCATCTTGACCCATACCCATATGTCTGCATGGGATCCACCAAACATGGCATCATCCCGTGTTTTTTGACGGATCCGAAGCGGGAAATCCAAGAACGACCGCTCGCCAAAGCCGCGGGCAAGCTGCGTTCATCGGAAGGTCCGTTGACGAAAATCGATGGGCCCCGCCTGGGGCCAAGACGCTCTAAGCTTAGCTCTGCGAAGCTTCGCGTCAGACCGAGTGGGAGGCCGACAGTCTCCGGGCACTTGGCCGCGCGGTGGGTGGGTGGATGGATGGGACGGAGACACGGACGCACGGACGGAACAGTGACGGATGGACAGCCCATCTGGGTGCCCATGAGCCGCTTCTAAATGATCTGTCGACGGTGACCCGTCGGCTCGAGGACTCAACTTGGGGGCGTCGCGCTCGCGGTTTGGGGGGTGCGGGTCATTGGATTTCCCCAAGCGTTGATCAATTTATGGAAACCATCGGCACTTTTTGAGGCCCACAAGACAAACATGGAGGAAACCCACCGGAAAGGGGGGATCCTCTCCAACAAAGGGATCACGCAGCCAGCCTGTTTCAAAGAAGAGGCTTAAAAACCATTTTCTTCAGCCCGCTCCAAGAATCGACTCGCGCTCGTTCTGGGTTAGTTTTTTGTTTGAGGCTCGCACCCTTCTCGTAGGTTCCATCGGGAAGCCAGCAAAAAAAAGAAACATTTCCCGGGGGCCGGGGGTATGCTGAAAGTCAGTTCTGCGAGCCTCTTGCGAGTCCGGCGGCTCTGCACCTGGCCAAGAAACGCCAGAAAACCAGAATCGCTCCATGCAGGGGGTGTCCTTTCTTTGGGGGGACCGGCAAAAACGGTGGCTGTCCTTTTGGCTCATTCCACAGAAAGCCACTGCGAGGTTCCACCGGATTTCCTTTGGCTTCCCCTTTTAGCCAAAGTAAAAAAGGGACCCTCAAAAGCATATCCCGCATTTACTGCAAAGGGTCCCAGCTTAACGCCATGTGAGGCAAGCTGTGAATGAGCCCTGGACCCCAAGGCTCTTGTTTCGGCTCATGCAAAACCATCCCAAAAGGGGTCGTCCAATTTGAGTTGACACGCGCGAATTGGTGGACCCAGCCGAAACATCCAAGTCGAACCAGTCCCAAACCCAGAAATATTGGACTCAAAACTTCCCGAACCGACAAAATGCCACAGATCCCCCCAGAAAGATCTGGCGGAGACAGGCAGGTAGCTCTTTACTCGGTTTCTGTTGACCCCTCTGCAGAAAGTCCAACTTTTTGTGGGTTTAGTAAAAGCCACCTTGACTTCCCAAAAAGTTGAAGTTAGAAAGATCCAACCCAATCAAGATTTTCCTCGAGGTGTTCTTAGGAACCTGCCAAACGGAAGGGGAGCAAACTGTTAAAAACATTTCGCAGTTCAGCGGTTGGATTTCAACCACTAAACCATTTCAACCACACAATAAGCAAAAATGCAAAATCTTTCCCAACACGTGTGAACCAACCAAACACCTCGCGCCGTTCCGCGCGGTAAGTACCGCGCCGTTTCGCTTCCGGCCTGCCAGGTGTCCCGGCCGCTTCTCGGCCACCTCCGGGTCCTCGCGAGAGGAGCGCCGGGACCGAGCGGAGCTCCGTGGACCGTGGCGCACGGAAACCGGGGGCGAAGTCGCACGAGGTCTGGGGTGCGCAAATGGACCGTGGCCCAAAAAAAACACCCAAAGAAAACAACACGAAAACAAAAAAAAACAATGGACCGTGGCCCAAAAAAAATAAAAATGCGAGACACCAACAGGCTGTGAAAACAAAAAACAACATGCTTTGAAGGAGAAATCAAGGGGTTGGCCCAACCCTGGTTCAGGAGAGGTGGTTGGTTTTGCTGGTCGGCACAAGGGGCCCTGGGTCCCTTGATTTGTTGTCCTTTTCGCCGATTCCATCTTGGGAGAGCCCAGAATCAGAATGAGGATTTGGGCCAATGCGGATGCTTGGTGTGTTCACCTGGTGGTATTAGGTTGCCTTGGTGTCTCTACAATCCGTACTTCGGTCTATTTGCGTCTTCATGAACAGCGCGAGTCTGGCTCACTCAGGCGCCTTGGCGACACAGGACCTCCCGCCTTCTTCAAAGGCAGCACATGTTGACAACATTTTTGAGGTCTGTTTGCGGCCACCCCCACAAAGCAGTGATACCCAGTGGGGTTTTGGGGGTTCCAAAGCCCGACTCAGAAAGTCGCAACCCTGCAACCAAAGCCACTTCAAGGGCCCGACAGCTGCAAGCGCCAAGGCGAAAACCCCATAAATCTCCCACCAGAAACACGCATCAAGGGAACCTGATCCCGTCATGTTTCTGTTCGCAACAAAGCGGTCCATTGGCGCTGTTGGTGCCCAGAAGGAAAAGACTGTCTGATGTCTTCAATCAAGGATATGATTCTGATGCTCCACCCTTCCAAAGCAAAAACACATGTCACATATCCCTGAAAGAACGGATATCTGCCTCTTCTATCACGAGCTCACCTAAAATGAAGGTCCTTGACTTGGTTTCTGTTGTATGATAGAAGTCGTCATTCCCAGGGCCCTGTTTATGCTGGAATTGGATGGGCTTTGTTGACGGGGTTTATGCTTTGCTTATGCTGGGTTTTGCTGGGTTCACGGCGCCTATAAGCACATACACTTTCATTCCGAGCTTGAAATCTGAATTGGAGGGCTTCCCAAAGACTAAACTGTTCATAGAAAGGGGGATTCCCTTGCATCACAGAATGAACCGGGATAAACCCCTTGTGATCCCACAACCCTGATCTGGTCACAGTTGGCACTTTTTGTCGGTGTTTCTCTAGTTTGACCAAAATGTCTCATTGCAATGAGCTAAGTCAAGTGCACACCTACGGCTACACTTTTGCCCAGTTCATAAGGGGGATTCCAACTTGCATCACAGAATAAACCGGGATAAACCCCTTGTGATCCCACAACCCTGATCTGGTCACAGTTGGCACTTTTTGTCGGTGTTTCTCTAGTTTGACCAAAATGTCTCATTGCAATGAGCTAAGTCAAGTGCACACCTACGGCTACACTTTTGCCCAGTTCATAAGGGGGATTCCAACTTGCATCACAGAATAAACCGGGATAAACCCCTTGTGATCCCACAACCCTGATCTGGTCACAGTTGGCACTTTTTGTCGGTGTTTCTCTAGTTTGACCAAAATGTCTCATTGCAATGAGCTAAGTCAAGTGCACACCTACGGCTACACTTTTGCCCAGTTCATAAGGGGGATTCCAACTTGTATCACAGAATAAACCGGGATAAACCCCTTGTGATCCCACAACCCTGATCTGGTCACAGTTGGCACTTTTTGTCGGTGTTTCTCTAGTTTGACCAAAATGTCTCATTGCAATGAGCTAAGTCAAGTGCACACCTACGGCTACACTTTTGCCCAGTTCATAAGGGGGATTCCAACTTGTATCACAGAATAAACCGGGATAAACCCCTTGTGATCCCACAACCCTGATCTGGTCACAGTTGGCACTTTTTGTCGGTGTTTCTCTAGTTTGACCAAAATGTCTCATTGCAATGAGCTAAGTCAAGTGCACACCTACGGCTACACTTTTGCCCAGTTCATAAGGGGGATTCCAACTTGTATCACAGAATAAACCGGGATAAACCCCTTGTGATCCCACAACCCTGATCTGGTCACAGTTGGCACTTTTTGTCGGTGTTTCTCAGTTTGACCAAAATGTCTCATTGCAATGAGCTAAGTCAAGTGCACACCTACGGCTACACTTTTGCCCAGTTCATAAGGGGGATTCCAACTTGTATCACAGAATAAACCGGGATAAACCCCTTGTGATCCCACAACCCTGATCTGGTCACAGTTGGCACTTTTTGTCGGTGTTTCTCAGTTTGACCAAAATGTCTCATTGCAATGAGCTAAGTCAAGTGCACACCTACGGCTGCACTTTTGCCCAGTTCATAAGGGGGATTCCAACTTGTATCACAGAATAAACCGGGATAAACCCCTTGTGATCCCACAACCCTGATCTGGTCACAGTTGGCACTTTTTGTCGGTGTTTCTCTAGTTTGACCAAAATGTCTCATAATGAGCTAAGTCAAGTGCACACCTACGGCTACACTTTGCCCAGTTCATAAGGGGGATTCCAACTTGTATCACAGAATAAACCGGGATAAACCCCTTGTGATCCCACACCCTGATCTGGTCACAGTTGGCACTTTTTGGGTGTCTCTAGTTTGACCAAAAATAATGAGCTAAGTCAAGTGCACACCTCTTTATATAAGGGGGATTCCAACTTGTATCACAGAATAAACCGGGATAAACCCCTTGTGATCCCACAACCCTGATCTGGTCACAGTTGGCACTTTTTGTCGGTGTTTCTCTAGTTTGACCAAAATGTCTCATTGCAATGAGCTAAGTCAAGTGCACACCTACGGCTACACTTTTGCCCAGTTCATAAGGGGGATTCCAACTTGTATCACAGAATAAACCGGGATAAACCCCTTGTGATCCCACAACCCTGATCTGGTCACAGTTGGCACTTTTTGTCGGTGTTTCTCTAGTTTGACCAAAATGTCTCATTGCAATGAGCTAAGTCAAGTGCACACCTACGGCTACACTTTTGCCCAGTTAATAGAAAGGGGGATTCCAACTTGTATCACAGAATAGACCCACAACCCTGAGCATAAACTTCATATCCCCCCAAAGCCAACCCGTCCCGCGGCGCGGAGCGTGGGGCGCCATTCCGCGCGGGGCTGAGCCGCGGGCTGCCGGCCTCGGGGAGCGGACTGGCAGCCACCGGTGGGTTGGTGGTGAGGGGTTTAGGAGTTTAGATTGTTGGCGCCTCGTGGGCCAAGCTCAGCCTCCTGACGTCGGCCACCACGTCATGCTTCGACCCGAAAGAGGGGCAAACTTGTGGGTCTTCTTCCACAAGCCCACCATGAAGCTGCTGCCCCATCCTCCGGCGTCCACCCACCTCTACAAGCTTGGCAAGGGGAAGCTTCACGATGTCGTGAAGCTGATGGGGTTTAGGGGTTTATATTTACCCTACACAAAAGACAAATTTTGAAATCCACATCCAAAAGCCAATCCAAGCCACCAACTAGCGGGTACCTAAAAACGCTCAAGGGTTGACTTTTCGATCACCAAGTTCAATGAGTATTTTGCACTTGTCGCACTTTAGATTCTTTCCTTCGCGGGAGTCCATAAGAATATGGGCAAATTTTCAACATATTTACCTAGCGTAAGAAACTGAAAACCTCTCGTGCCAATCTCTTCTGCAACTTGCTGTTGTAGCTTGCTAAAGAAGCCTCATGTAACCTGCCATTGCAACTTTCTAGTCCAACTTGCTCGTGCAACTCACTACTGCAACTTGTTAGTGCCACTAGCTGGCGCAAGTTTTGCTAGTAATGCTATCTTGCTAGTGCTGCTGGCTAGTGCAGCTTGCTCGCACTGTCTTGCTAGCGCTATCTTGCTAGTGCTACCTTGCTAGTGTATTTTATTAGTGGGTTAGTAGCTCTGGCCCAAGCACCTCCCGGTGGTAGAGCCGGTGCACAGCAAAGCTCGGGAGGCGATGGACACAGATCTGACCAGCCTTGCTCTCGGCAGCAGGGCCACTTTGGTGGTTCGGGCGATCGCCGCCAACACCGAGATGGGCACAGAGATGTTGGGGCTTTGCCCCAGGCAGCGCTTCCTCGTGGACACCCACATCGACCAGGACACGCTGGTTACAATTTACAATGCGGAGCTTTCCGCAGCTGAACAGTTGCCTCGGCTTCTTTTGGACAATCATGCGGGATGGATCGCCCATTCGAAGCCCACCCATGGGGCATTTTTTCAGCTGAAAGAGCTCTGCGCCGGCCTTGGTGGCTTCTCCCAGGGAGCCAACTTTGTGGGAATCAAGACGGCAGCCTGCCTCGACCACAGCCGGCTGGCATGTGATGCACTTCGGCTCCAGGGCCATCAGGTGGTGCACGCCCAGATAGAGGACATGGAGGCTCTCTTCAAGTTCCACCGGCTCAACCATGCCTGCTATCGGCCGGCTTCCCATGCCAGCCATACAGCGCCCAGGGAGATCAACAAGGGATGCGTGACAGCCGGGGGAAAACACCCTGAAGGCCTCCTGGTACATGCAATCCGTGGGCCTCGTCCTAGAATGCGTGCACAATGCCCGACACAATGCGGACGTGCAGAACCTTCTCAAGCAGTATGCCAATCTACGAGGATGGCAAGTTCACCATGTCACCCTCGACTTGCAGGACCAATGGGCAAGCAAGCGCAAACGATGGTGGTGCATTATGATCCCAGAAGACTCGCGAGCGCCTTTCTCCTTACACCCGTGGCCCAGCACTAACCCTTTTCCCAATGTGGGATCAGTCATTCAGGAGTGGCCTGTTTGGAGCGATGCCGACGAATCCAACCTCCAATGGACACTTGAGGAGGAGCAGAAGTACAGAGATCCCCAGTACGGCAACGACCTGCGCCACCTCAACACAGCGGCACCAGCACCCACAGCACTGCACTCGTGGGGGGTGGCCTTACAGAGCTGTCCCTGCGGCTGTCGATCGGGGCCGCTCTCCGACACCCCACTGCGCCAACACGGCCTTCGAGGATTTGCGGTCATTTCCAGCAGCACCGGCAAGAAGCGCTTCCTGCACCCAGGCGAAGCCGGTTTCCTGAACACCCTGATGCCTTCGACTCCCCTTCCGGGACCGGCCAGGCATGCTCTACGCCTAACCGGACAACTAGCAGCACCCTTACAGGCAGTCTGGGCCTTCGCCCACATCGTCAGCTGGGTCATACACATCAACACTGGACGCCCAAAGCGCTCGCCTATCGGCATGATTCAGGAGTACCAGCACAAGCTCCTGCAAGACCGGCTCCTACGCTGGATCATACCGTCCATGTTCACGCCGCGCACCCTTACCCTCACCGAGGACGGAGAACCCGATGCCTTGATCGTGCTGGACAAGCCAACCACTCTGGCTCAGCTCAAGAAGGCTGAGACCTCTCTCCAAGGATGGGGAGCCGCAATCCAAGTCTATCCGGCCGGCCACCACA